TCATCCAGAAATTTCAGATGCGATGGGTCTCTGAGTAAGGATTCCCAAAAACCATTGTCTCTGACAGGGATGTTCGGTTCACCAATCTACAATGGCAAAAGTTTATGGAAGTCTATGGCACCAGGTTGACCATGTTGTCAGGCAGACATCCTAAAACGAAAGGCCAAACTGAACAAATGAACCGTCTGTGCCAACAACTTTTGCGCATGTATGTCTGACTCGATCAAATAGATTGGGATGAGAACTTGCCTAAAATTGCTAGTGCTTATGATAACACTGTATATACTGTTACAGGGAAAGCCCAACTGCAGATGATTGAGCAGGCCAACAAACATCGACGACTCTCACAGTTTCAGAAAGGTGATTTGGTATGGGTGAAGTCTAAAGAATTTTCCTTGGAAGAAAACATATCTCAGAAACTGCTGCTTGTCTACTACGGACCTTGGGAAGTTCTCAAGGTAATTGGGGATGCAGATGGACCTTCCTACCGAATATATGTACCCCCACACCTACGGACTGATCCTGTCTTTCATGCGTCTAAACTCTTGCCATATGTGGAAGGAACTGAGTTTCCTAATAGACCATCCATGTTTCCCCCTTCCATGAATGGAGGTTACGAAGTTGAGAAGATTTTGGAACATGGCTATTTCTCTTCAGGCGGCAGAGGACGGCCGCAGAAGCAGTGTAAGTTAACGTTCAAGTTTCAACCCCCACCGAAGCTAGATGGTTCAGTAAAAAGGAACTCTTACCCATTGCTCCTGATATTGTTGCTGCATATGAACGTTGGTTGAAAGAAAATTGATGTGTTTCTGCGATGGAACTCGAAAATTGGGCTGGCAAGAATGCAATAACGCGTGCAGTATTCCTTGGAATGCCTAAGGGCCTTGCTAGGCCACACTCAGACCCAGGCCAAAGATGGGAAAAGACCCCAGCCAAAGATTCAAGGCCTGAGCGAGCGACAGTTGACGAAAGTCAATTGCCTGACGCCCAACACTCAAAGTCAAAGTGGACCCAACCCTGGCCGCCGGTGAGACGCACACACTTGTTTGTATGCAGGTACTCAGACAACATCAGGACCAACGGGAAGTCTGCAACTGTTTACAATCCAGACCCTCGACTACGAGGCATTATGTACGAATGTGGGAAGGAGACCTGAGGCCAGACTGCCTCATCAAACACTACATAAGGCTTGGTCTCCAAGAGTACAACATTCAGTCTTGTTATGCCGCCTCGACGCTGGCTTGACTCTAGCTGGTTGCTGGCCTGACGCTGGCTCGACATTGGCTGGACGCTGGCTTGACGCTGGGTGTGCGCTGGTACTGTGGACGACGATGCGGTACTGTGGCTGCATGTTGGCGCTTCCTCTGTTGAGCGCCAGCGTCTGCTGACGTGGCGCGTGCCACCAATCTTCATTGCTGATGTGGCACATGCCACCTGTTTACGTTGACGTGGCGCAGACAGGCGCAGGCCACCTGTTTACATTACGATGTGGCGCAGGCCACCTGTCTACATTGCTGATGTGGCGCAAGCCACCTGTCTTCGTTGTTGATGTGGCGCACGCCACTTGTCTCTACTACTGACGTGGCACTGGCCACGCTGTCTACATGAGGTCACTGGTTGCGTTAAGGAGGGAGATCGGAATTTGTGGATGATTGGGAATTGGTACTCACCTGAGGTTGACGTCGATTCCGTGTGTATTGTTGTTGTCTAGATGATAGTGCCACGCGGCACTTCTATGTGATCAGGACTTATCAGACTTGTTACTATATATTGATTGATGACTTGGAGGCGAGGGGAAGCCCGAAGAAGGAGTGGGAAACGATTGGGCTACTTTTGTGTGGTCACTGATTCTCTCTTCCACTCTCTCCTTTGTCTATTCCCCCTCCACTCTCTTCGTCTATTGGTAATGAGATATTCTATCAAATATCACTTTCACGTTAGTTGGAGACATTGTGCAGATCTGAGACTACTTGTACTTCGACGTCTCTGGGTTCATCGCAGAGCACTCAAGAGTGCATTTCTCCTTTAACCTCTTCCCATCTCATACGGGACATGTCGTGCTTGGACTTTTCCTTGAAGGGTAGAGGTTTTGGGGTCGCGGCGCAGAGGCCGACACTCCCCGTCCCGCTGAGGCATGAGACTAGAAGAAGAGGAGAAAATTGAGCAACTCAATATGTGGTCGTTATGACTCACGAGTGCTTAGGGTCCCTAGCTATGCAATGCAATTTTCAATTCTCAGTCCAACGCTCAATCAAATGTTCTTCCCAATCTCTTTCAAAGACTGATTCTCATGACCGACTCGACAATCTTTTCCAGTCAACATCTCAACTCAAAACTCAACCACATTCAGTCTTTAACAAGCAATCATGCAAGGGGATACCAGTGCCAGTCTCTAATGATCTTTTCAGGGGCCTTTTTTTGCTATTTCAAGTTGAATAACCTTTTCAGGGGTCATTCCTTACTATTCTAAGTCGAACTACCTTTTCAGGGGTTATTCTTTGCTATTTCCAGTCGAACATCCTTTTTCAAGGGTCATTCTTAAACCTTTGCCAGCGCCCGAGTGGGTGGGCTTCGAGGATACGGATCCCATCCATAAGTAGGGGGTTAGAAGGTGGCGATCTTATACTTTTTATGTGTGCGCTTTCTTTTATCATATCTAGGGAGGACTAGTTGTCGAACATTCCACCACATAGAGATAGAGCCAGGCAGTAAATGCCTATAAGGGAGCAGTCTACAAAATGTCTACCAAAGAATTAGAAGAGCTAAACAAGCAATTAGACGAGCTCCTAGAAAAAGGATGAATTTTATGGGTAGGCGACTACAATTCCAGCCAGCTCCACAAAACCATGCGCCAGGCATGGATTCAAATATTCGGGCAGGTGATTTCAGTGCTCGTACATTTGCTGATAATTCATGGATCCTATGGGACAATGGCGACAGGGTGCACACAGAGGGAAATATTAACTCTTTGTATCACCAAGTGGTGGAGAATTGCTCGGTCTGGCTCGTCTATCGGGAACAGTATGTCAATGAGCACTTGCAAGCACTTCACCCCCCGGAGAGCAATCCAGGGGACGGTGGCTGTGCCCTCCTATTTTGTCGTCACACAGGTACAGTTTTGGTTCGGATGTACACGGCATAGCCTCTGCTCCGAACACTATGAAGGGGTGGTCGATGTCAGCCTCTCCCATGAAAATTGTGATCCCGTGTCTTGTGCTCATCCCCCCACCCCCTCATTACTTGCCCAGCATGTCGTTGTGGCCTTGATCTGCAATACGTAAATAATCGTGCACGTCAGCCTTCCATGCTAATGAGATGTCAGCAACATGCCATGTGCCGGCAATGTTTCCAGAAAGCTGTCATATAAAGTATGTGTCTTTACTGCGTGGACTATCCCCGGTGTTATCATCCTCCACATCCTCTCCTAGCTTGGCCCACATGCGGTGTTGGTCATACACCTACGACAACAGCATACGCATCTCCCTCTTCCTTGCCAGATGGAAGACAGACAGAGCAGCCCGAGGACGAAAATAGACTTCTATGTGAAGGACCCTCGGAGCGATGTGCTGATAATTCATCACCACCAGGGCGAGCTGTTGTGGACCAAATCCTGCAGCAGCTGAGCGCCGTTGCTTTGGACCGATCCCCCCTGTCGTCGTCTGCCCATAGAGAAGGAATAAATACTGAGGAAACCGAAGAACGATGCTCCATGCCACTTTGTGATGACCTGCCGGAGATTCAACTAGCATGTGGTTCGCATGCCTTGTGTCATGAGGATTATGAAGGAATAGTCCATGCGAGTTTTTGCTTCCATATGTGACGACAGTCAATACTGTACTCATGTACGTAGACGGGCGGCATTCGATGCAGCGATTGTAACTGCGAAAATTGGATGCGATGCTTCCATAGTGCACACCCGAACCGGTCCTGTCTGGTCTGTAGGGGTGGCCACTTAGCATAGGCAATAACTGCTCCTCGACCCAAAAATATTTTTTTGCAACCCTTTGCCATTCTAGAGTAGTCTGTTCCAGCGGTGAGTGTTTAGAATTCTGTGAAGTTCATCATACACCTCTCCCCTGCCCTTTGCATGTCATACTCAATCCTGCCCTTCACATGTTTCTGTACTGCCCTTTACCCTCGACCTCACCAACCCCACACTCTATAGATCTCCGGCTTCCATCCCTTTCCCTCCACCTTCCCCTTTTGTGCTACTAGCAAATACATGCGAATGAGCATCATTGGGAGAACAGACAATATTAAAATCAGAAGTGAAATGAATTGAAGTATGAAGATGAAGGACAGACACAAAGACTAAGTATAAGCTGAAGATATAAAGTGAAATGAACACTAGTATGCACAGGAGCATACCTTCCCTTTTACTCTGCCTCCTGTTATAACGTGCAAGTGGGCCATTAAGGCACGGGGATGAGGGCAGCTGCCGCTCAACCACCATCAACGTGGGCAGCCTTGTACGTGTGAGGCATGGTAAAAGAGGAGCTGTTGCCTCGAAGAAATCCCAGCTAAACACAGTTCTAAACACTTCTATAATTTCTATTATGATTCATTGCTTGCTAAAGAGGTGAGATTCTTTAATTGTTGTCCTGGCTCAACTCGTATCTACTCGTCTGGATGGAATAGGGGCTGTTGTGGTGCAATTTTTCAAAAACACCCAGCCTTAGAAAAGTCAGCTCAACGCGGGAATGGAGGCAGGGGGTGCTGAGTGGGAAGGGGAAGCGCCAGATTAACAACTTAAGAAATTTCAGCAGTGTTTTTACCTTGACTATACAGCTGGTAACATGCTCTCTGGCATGCTAACGGGCTTGTGCACTTTTTACCTTGACTATACACTGAATGAGATATGTTATGCTATGTTGTCAGCTGGCACTTTGGCACATGCTCCTCTGGCATGCTAACGGACTTGTGCACTTCTGTGTTCTTTTCCGTCACCGCCTTTTGTGTGTGTGCATGCGTATCTGTGTGTGGTCGTCGGTCTACTGCAGCAAATGGGAAAACACATTGCAGGGCTCAGCCATCAGAGTCGAGAGTCCCTTTTGATGGGAACAAGGCACGTGATCCTCATTCGGAATCCCATTGCATCCCTTGTAAGTTCGTAAGCCCAGTCTCCACCTGTTGTGAAATCCTAAAATTGAATGTTGTGCGAGGATTGAGCCCTCGCGAGAGGCCCTTCTTGGACATTCAAATGTTCTGGGCTACGACCCCCAGCAAGCCTTGTGCTCGCCCTAAGTGAATCCGGGCCTGTACATTCACGAGAGGACTATTTTCAGCATTTTTCATATGTGGGGTATCAGACAGTTGCAGCACGCCAGTTGGTTACAGAGCAACATGCGCCGCCTCTAGCTCTTTCCAGAAGCAGCAGCTGCATCGTACAGTTGAGCCCAGGGCTCATTCAGTTGAGGCCCTGGGCACATGCATCCAGAGGCCGGCATGTCACTGAGCTGCCATGGACCAATGTGAAGGCAGCTCCTGCATCACACACACATGCCACGAGCCAATGAGAACGTGCCGAACACTTGGGGGCTCGTGGGGCTACCTGGATGTGCCTAACTGCACGGGGCCCTGGCCAGTAGTGAAAGCTGGGCCTGGGCGCAGACACTTTGGACCAACCTGAAGCTACTGGGCCCCTACACGCCAGTCCAGGGCAAACAGAAGCAGACTCACTTTCGATAAACACCAAGGGTCAGGGCTTTCTGGCCTGGGCAGGCAATGCGGCCACACTGCTGCTTTGCTGTGCGATGTTGCGCTAGGCAGGCAGGCTGAGGCGCACGCGGGCGCTTAGAGGCGAGAGGACGCTGCGGTGGCAGCGGGCGCACGACGGCCATAGCCGGGTCGTGGCTGTGGTGGCAGGTGATGGCGATTGTGGTCTTCGGGTACGAGGCGGATGCAGAGGAGAGACAGGGGATGATGAGGCGAGGTGTGAAACATGTACCTGGTGTATGCTGGCGGTCTGCATTGGTGGTGGCATCACGTACATTGGTCTTCAACATCGATGTGCTCCTGTTGCATGAAGGAAGATAGGGTAGGTAGACTATGTGGACTGAGTAGTGTAGGCTGGGCACTGGGTGCCAGACAATAGGAGCGACATTGGATACTATGTTAGAGTGGCCAGAGAGCGTCGACATTGACATTCGAGTTCACTGTATTGCTCTTATTTGGATGGTATCTTGATGCTCTCTGCTTGGTACATGACTATCTGGGCTACTTCATGATTTTTGCAATTTGGAACTCTGTCTATTGCTCTCGCTCATATTCCTTGCAGTTTTGGTTCGATATCGTCATCACCGGCACATGGGACTTCGTTACTTGGTGCGCTAACGAAGCTTCTACGCAGTGAGGATACATTGGCACTGGTTTGATTAGCCACTCCCGGGTAAAGGGAGGGTGGCTGGAAGGCTGTGGCGACAGCGTGGGAGCTGTGGCGATAGCGGATGTATGTGGAATGATGAGAGCATGCTAACTGTGTGGTACTGAGGCTATGACCGGTCATCAAAATGCACATTGGCTCAATTGGTGAGAAATTGGTGGTTGGGGGCAGCTACCTTCAGGTACGTTGTTCCCTTACCGTATCTTCCCATGTCAATTTCTTCTTATCGTGAGGAAGAGAGTTTGACTCGAGTGTCCTCTTCTGATTCAGCAGTCATGAGCGCTCTACCTTGAGAGTCGACATTCTTCCTGGTGGCGCATCTGACAGGAGAGGGCGGTGCCTCTGAAGGGCCGTGATTGAAGCACGGATTATAGTCACCATGCCAACCCACGAGAGTAGTGCACGCAGGCCATGCTGCAGTGACCTTTGAGCTCTTTGCTGTGCATAGAGGGGATCGTGGACTGACCAGTCCTATGTGGGAGAATGCGTACCAGACTGTCTATAAAGATGTAAAGAACCTCTGGTGGGGAAACCGACACCTGGCTGTGATTGCTGTCCTGACGGTGACATTAAATAATTCTTGAGGACCTTGGGGGCTGTCCTTAAATTGCCTCTTGATCAGCCAGGCTCGTTGTGTGCGAGGATAAAGACAATGCAAGGCTGGTCATAAGTGGTTTCCTGGGCACCGGGGTGGGCGGATATGCACACCTTAGACACCGTTGCTTGATGATCCAACACAGGATCGTCGGATACAGGGGAGGGAAATTTCCAATTGGTGCTCACACACAATCATTATTATTTCCATTTCTGCATACATCTGCGCAACTGATTTATGTTTATTTTGATTAGTTAAGGTGGACAGATTGCTAATGCCTGACAAACAGCTCTAGAATAGAACAGTAGTAGTCTACCATTGTCTGTTCAAGGACGTAATCTGCACCTTCTATGATGGAGGTGGGGAACTTAATCATAGGATTCCGTTCCTAGTTAGTGACGATTTGCCATTTGATATGTTGTTAGGTATGTACTACCTCGAGGTTGCAAAGCCCCAGTTTGACTGGGACTGAAAGGTGCTTAAGCATTTACTATCGGAAGGGAGGACAGTAAGACTCGCAAAGTGTAAGGCTAGCAATCTGATGGACACTTACGGTTGTATGTGTGCATCAGCATTTTATAATTACTATAAACAGAACCAAGAGGAGGGTATGTATTTAGTTTTTGTCTCTGAGAAAGGGGAGGCCGTTAAAACACCCCCAGAGATAGAAAGTGTCGTCACAAGATACCCTGATCTGTTTGAGGAGCCTTCACGGGTCGTGGAGAGGGAGGTTGTTTATGCCATAGAGATATTTCGAGGGAGCAAGATACCCAAAGGAGGAATGTATAGGATGGCACCGACCGAGTTGGATGAACTTCGGCGACAACTGAAAGAGCTCACAGAAAAGGGTTGGATATGGCCTAACACCTCCCCCTTTGGCTCATCAGTCCTATTTGTCCCGAAGAAGGGGGGGACACTAAAGATGTGCATTGATTATAAAGGCCTCAATGCCATCATTGTTAAAATTCGGCTAGACCAGAGGACCAACACAAAACTGCATTTAAGGCCACGTACGGTCTGTACGAGTTTATGGTGATGCCCTTTGGCCTTTGCAATGTGCCAGGTACATTCCAGCACGTCATGAATAGCATCTTTCATGACTACTTCGATAAGTTCATCCTCGTGTACATAATTATCTTTAGTAGAACAATCGAGGAGCATGGCCAGCATGTAGAAACCGTATTTTCACTCCTACGACAACACAAGTATAAGATTAACTTAGAGAAATGCGAGTTCGGTCGCACTATAATCTTGCACTTGGGTCATGAGATATCGGCGGATAGGTTAAGGTCGGAAGATGCCAAGGTGGCTAGCATTCGTGACTGGCCACAACCTTAGTCTGTGACTGAGGTCAAATCTTTCTTAGGGATGACAGACTAATATTGCGACTTTGTAAAAAACTATAGCATTATGGCCTCCCCTTTGACTGATCTAACTCGCCTTGACACACCATAGGAATGGACCAACGAGTGTGAAACTGCCTTCAAACTTTTGAAGCATGCTGACCTCAGTCTGTGACCGAGTTCAGATCTTTCTTAGGGATGACAAGCTACTATCGCAACTTTGTAAAGAACTATAGCATTTTGGCCTCCCCTTTGACTGATCTAACTCGTCTCGACACACCATAGGAATGGACGGACGGGTGTGAAGTTGCCTTCAAGCGTTTGAAGCATGCTCTCATGCACCATGAGATTCTCATGGTTCCCTCCGAAGAAGCCCTTTGTTGTGACCACTAACAAAAGCCAATATGGCATTGGCGCAGTGCTGGCCCAACAGGAAGGGAAAAAGTGAAGGCCGATCGAGTAGATGAGGAAAAAGATGCCATCGAAGAAGTTGGCAAAGTTCATCTACGAACGGGAAAGCCCTTTATAAGGAACTTGTCCACTAGAAACACTATCTGTTGGGAAGGTTCTTCTATCAGAGAACTGACCATCAGACACTCAAGTTTATCAGGACACAACCTGTTCTCTCTGACACACTCAAACGCTGGATTGAAGTCATAGATCAATATGACCTCAAGCTAGATTACGTGAAAGGAGAATATAACCAGGTTGCTGATGCACTGTTATGTAGGGCAGACTACCTAGGTGCACTGATCATTGAGTTGGCATATCCGATGATGCAACTCCATCATTGGTGGAAGCCTACACGGAAGACCCCATAATGATGGACATCATCCGCAAACTAGATGATAAAGATAAAGCAACATCTGATGAGTTTGTGGTGGTGGATGGTTTACTTTTCCTTGAGAAGGTGGGGATTAAAGTACTATATATTCCATCTAGCTGAGTGAGGACGCCGCCCGGCTGGGCCTGCCCTGCCGGTTGGGCCCGGGGGGTCGCCCAGGTAAACCGGGCGGGACAAGAAAATGCCCCGAATGTTTTTTTTTTTTTTTTGAAACCGGGGTCTTTCTGCGCTCGGCAAGAGGACCCCGAATCTGCAATAAAATTTTGGTTTTGGTGGGGGGATGGGGGGCATGGGGGGGATGGGGGGATTGGTCTGGGTGGGGGGTGCTGGGGTTGGAGGGGTGTGTGTGATGGGGTGCAGATGCGTTTTTTTTTTTTTTTTTTTTTTGGTAAGGGGTGTGTGTATACAAGGGGGGGGGGGGAGAGAGAGAGAGAGAGAGAGAGAGAGAGAGAAAAAATCCCCTTAACACGGCTCAGACGGCCCATGCAGGCTATGTGAAAGGCCCTCGCAGACATGTAGCGCAGACCCCCCCACCAAAATCGAGGCAGGCAGTGAGTATGAAACAGAGCACGAGCTGGCCGAATATATACTCGAGATTCGAATTAAGGTCTGTGTTTCAGCAGTTATGGGTTGCTCACGTAGCCATGCCCTGTTGGTCTCTGCATGTGACTCTTAGGGCTTGGCTGCACTACTCACGAAATGTGCAAAATTAGAATGAATCTTCCACAGAAAGTGGAATAATACGCCACCATATGTTTTGTCTTTTGTGCATTTGGTGAGTACAGGCCCTTAGGGCCACTGCACGTATTCCTAAGAAAAGAAAAACGAGAAAAGAAAAGAAAAGCGAGAAAATAGAGAAATAGTGGCCCATAACGGACATGCACAGACCTGAATTCGAATCCAGACTATATATTCTCTGCCCACCCTCAGGGGCTAGA